TTGCTCGTGTCGAGGCAGCCGTTGCGGATGTTGAAGCCGTACTCCTCCAGCTGGATGCCGACCGTGAGCGGGTACTTGGTCGCGGCTTCAGCGTAGCTCATGGCGTTGTAGTTGGCGGTGACGGCCTCCATGGCCTCGAGCTTCGAGAGCTGGACACCGGCAAACTGGCGCTCAAAGTCCATGACGATCTTGGCCGCGGCCTTGGCGTCACCCGCCGACTTGCCGCCGCCAAGCGTGAAGAGCGACACAATGTACTGCTCGTAGTGCGGCTGGAGGAAGCCCCAGATGCCTGCGTCCGTGTAGTACTCGAGCTCATCGAAGGTGAGCGGCGCCTGGAACGAGTAAAGCACGTTGGTCGTCGCGTCCATCTTGTCGGGGTACACGGCGGGCTGCGTGAACGCGGGCACGTTCTTCTTGCTGAGCTTGGCAACCGTGTGGAGGATCTCGGTCGTCGAGTTGGCCGAGCGAATCGCCTTGAGGTCATCAGCGATCGGCGTCACACCGAGCGCGATCAGAGAAGCTTCGTCCTTGCACGAGTTGTAGTACTCGGTGAGCTTGGAGTGGCCGGCCGCGAGGATGTTCTTGATGACGGCGTCGTTCTTGGCCGCAATGACGCTGAACGACGTGTCGATCGTCGAGCGGTCCGCGGGAATGACGGCGTTCTTAATCCAGCCACCGCACGCGTACTGGTAAAAGTCCGTGCAAGGGTCAGCGTCCCGGTCCATGAGGTCGGCGACCTCCTTGGGGAACTCGGTGACCGAGCCCGCGAGCGCCGTCGCCGCCAAGGCGCTGAGGGTAACGATGATCTTGACCATACTGGTGGTAGCTGGTAAAAGAGATAATGAGTCGAGTTGTCGAGCGGCGCCGGCAACGACAAGGGTTGTTACTGTGCAAGGTGAAAACAGACGGCACCCAACTCAGAAATCATGACCAACTCTCGTCCGACAGATGGCAGGTTTTCAAGAGTTCGACGTTTGCACAAGCACGTGAGTTCAACGGGTGCGATTACAGGGTTACGTACGACAACCATGCGAGTGCACTAAAGTGGTGGGCACAGAAACAGCGTCCGCCCCAAGGGGATCGGTTCAAGCAAAGATTCCATTGCACGGAGCGGCTTTGCTCAATCACTGCATTTTCCACCTAGGTGCTGGCCAGTGACGCCCCAATGGGCACGCGCTTAGCACGCGTTTTGATGTCGAGTCGCCAAACAATCGACACGCCTGCAAGAGCCACGCTTGATTGGGTAGGTTTTACACCCACGAAACGGAGGATATGTCGTTGATGAGAGCGGGCGACGTCAGGCTCAAGCTTAGTGTACTGTAGTGCAGCGCTAACTGGTCGTGCTGCGAAAGTTGCTGCAATGCAGGTGACGACGGGTACAAGTCGACGATATGGGCTGCGTTGAGCCGGTCGCTAGCCCCGCCTCAATGCTCCCACCATTTTCAGATTTTACACGACGTTTTACCGTCGAGTGGTAAACCAGCGACTAAGATTCTCAGTTGCAAGAGGCCTTTCTGATCATGAAACGAAAGGGATCGGCGCACCGTTGGAATTGTGCTTGCATGGCAAGGTCGTCTGATAATGCTTTTATCGGACGGCTAATCAGATTCTGAAAACCATGTGTGTTGTGTGCCCTTTCTAGCCCCACACTGGAAAACCTACCAATAGGTAAAAATGGGGATCAGCACGTAGTCGCTTCAAGCCTGCATTTTCATTCGTCACGAAATTCGCATCAAATTTGACTAGCGTGAAGGGAAAATATGTTCGTTGATACTATTGCTGGTTGAAGTACTGCACATTTAGGTTGTAAAAAAGATATTGGGGCGTACGCGGGAGATTTTCTATGGGCACTATTATTGCAGCTTCTGATTTTACGTTTTCTGATTTTGAGAAAATAGTCCTCAAGACGGACCGTCCAGTGTCCAGTGGGTGCCATGGTGAGAATATTCTGATGGACATGTAAGCTTACAAAGTTTAAATAGTGGTTGACCCAACTGAGACTGATAACTGCGTAATGAGATTACAAACGGCGGTGTGAGACTCAGTTTGATGCTTTGACATCATGCTTTGACATGGACGTTGCACGACACTTCGCGCCTCCACCGCTGGCTACTGCTAGCCGTGGAGGCGTGAAGCGTCTCCTAGCTGAGGCTAATGACCCACAAACACTGGCTCGGTCAGTTCTAATTTATGCCCCTACGTTACGGTCGGAACCTAGCGATATTATGGGCGCACCCATCGCACAGGTTTTGTATTAGTATTCTTGCTACGCGTTGTCCCACGTGCGATGGCACGGTCAAAGGCGGTTGTTGCTGACACTGTGAAGCGAGTCTATTTTGATAACCGGTAATTTAAAGTGAGCTGGTTTTGGAGGTGGACTTTCGACTCAGACCGTGTTGTGACTGGCAGCAGCAGCGAGGCATCGCCGTCTCGAAGGCGAGGCGCATAGATTATGCAATCCGGAACGAGGTGGTCGCGAGGCCAGGCGTTGTGGAGCAGGACGTTCATCATTCGGAAGAGACACAGCGCTCGGGTATTCAGCCGCAAATGTTGCAGGTGCAGATTGGTCAAGAACCGCGGCGCGAGTGGTGGCCGCTTCGGGCGTCACGACGGGCGCCTCGAGACGGAAGACTCGGTCGTTTCGGGCTAGCCAGACAATGTGGAGCTCGCAAGCGCACACATGGAGTCCTAAACTATGCTGCTCTTGGCAGTGGACCCATGCGTCATGTGAGTGGGCGCTGCGATGATAAAGCCGAGTCATCAGTATCGGGGGAGCTGTGGAGGCTTTGGCTGTAGAAGCAACATTCCTGGGAGCTACAAGGCTGGTTGATGCAATTTATATTCCCTTGTGTTGAGGTCACTGGGTTGAAACGGTCTCATCAACCGCCTTTGACCGTCCGATTCTACTTAATTCATTATAAAGCCCACTATAGCAGCAACACCGCTTCCAAAATGTTGTTAGTATATGCGGCAGGTCCTTCGGTTAGTGAATTTATTCGTCATAGCCACGAGTACCAGCCCTTGCCCCAGAGCGCTCCATGCAGCGGGGTGTCCTGTTGGGTGACCGGATAAGTTGAGATGGAAAGAACAAACGAAAGCCAAAAGAAGAAGTGAGCTGACCAGACTCGTGTATATTAGCGGAGCTGAGGCGCCGATATTGGTGGCTCGCATCGATTCGGGGGCTCGGTTGGTGGCGCAGACGCTATCGGGTGGCAGCGGAGGCCATCGGATGGCGACGGGCCTGCTGCTGGCTAAACGGGACAAGCTCGGCTAAACGGTTAGGTTACGCGTGCAAAACCCATGTGCAAAACCCCACACGCCGAGTGACAAATGATAGTGCAGTGATGGGCCATGATAGGCGGAAACCTACCAAGAAGCTCCCTTCTTGACTGCATACATGGACGTCGCAAACGCAAATACTGAAACATGTTCGAATCGAAAGACCCTGAAAATGATACCGGAGCGAGAATAGCCCACGCAAGTTGGTGTACACCTTTTTCTTCATCACGCCTTCAAATATTGCTATCTCGGTCCTCTGTCAAGTAAATATTGGTGAAGAGCCGTGAGTTTTTCATGGACGATACGAACGGAAAATTGCGAACCCGTGGGGTGAGCTTAAATTTCTGGGGATCGCGAGCATTATCTTAGCACATAATGGCACCGTCGTATCCTATTCGTCGACACGACAGGCCTTTGGATAGATTCTCGCAAAGCTCCCCAAACACATAATCAAAGATTGCGCGCATCTACGCACCTGCCTGGTGGATCAAGAGGATAAAAGAATAACGCAGAGTTGGTGACAGCATCTTGGGCATAACGTTGCACGGGAGTTTTAGCGTTTGGGTAGGCAGCGTCGACTATCTGCCAAGTCTTAGCTCACCTTTTCATGTAGATAGAGCCCAAATTGTGAGTGAGGAAGCCACGTCATAGCAACTACAGCTATGACAGCTTGGTCAAGGGATCGATCACCGTGTTGGCAAGCCTCTCGTCGTGCATTTAGGCAATTTGCCCTTTGGCTATATGCAGTCGCGTACTTTCGACAACCCGCGCTTGCCGCTAATCAAAGACTGTGTCGCAAGCGCTGTTGCTCAAGCGACAAGAACTCGGGCAAATATGTGCATTTCCTCGTATTACCAGTATACATATGAACGTGTTTAGCGTAATCTTCGTGTTACAACGGCTTTGCATACGTGAATACTAATAGCAATCTTTTTCTTCAATTGCTCGCCGGGCCGTGCCTGCGTAGATGGCAGTGCGGAGGCTCGTCTTGATGTTCTGTAGCGATCTCCGGGCGCCTGTGAACTCGAGTGAGGCCATGACGACAGTAGAACTAGTACATGATCAAGAACCCGTGGGTTATGTAGCTTCATTGTCAATCGTACTATACCAACGACATGAAGCTCACTCTATCTTCTTACTCTTTGGCATCCCAGCCTCATTGGCTCTAGGGTCATGTTCATTCGTGGCATGTTTATACGGGCGGCACTGCGCGGTTTCGTTCGCCGCTTCAATTACCGCGTATGCGCAGTTTCTGTGCGCTACGAGTGCATTGCTGATACACGCGATGTACAATGTGATTTTACACTGTGCCTAACGGGGTGTTCGTGCCTCGCAAACGAGAAACGCATGTCAGCGGTAAAGAAAAGGTGTATCAGCCTAAGCTCTCTCAGACACGTTTTGCATGACACGACCCCGAAAAGTCAGACGTTTGCGCTTCTCAAAGCTGAGCACTTTTCGGTTCACTTTTTGCGGTCCCTGTTTCTTGTATACCTGTGACCGTATCCGCCTTGATCCAAACGCCAGACAAAGGGAGGCGTACTTCCGAACACCGGCGTGTGTACTTAAAGGCAAATAGGGAACTAGATAGGCTAACTGACTGCTGGAGCCCTGGCCACAGGCTCCTGTACAGTCCCATCCTAACTGTTTCTCGGTAGGACTATCTAACTGATAGATTGATACGAACACATCGCCTTGTCTCGACCTAGTGGTTGTAGAGCTGTGCAGATACAAATATCCAGTGCTCAACCACTGTATGAGGCATCTACTGCCACAATACCAGAGTCTAGAAACATGACTCTTGGAGTCTACAAGGCACTGAATACGTTGGTTCTCATTTGGCCTTTGGACTGAGAAACGATAGGTTTCTCAAAGTACTCGTCCGCGAAGGAAATTCTTCCACGTTGCGATCAACCACTGGTGAGCTCAATCTACTCATTCTACGTACCCCATACGTATCCCCTGTTTTTGAGAAGAACTGAGACCAAACACTTTTTTCGTGGCATGGTTATTCTAGCATCGAGGTGTCGACACAAGTTTGAAAATGCACGCTAATTCGCACCCTTGTTATGGCCCCAGCCAAGTGTTCGCGCAAATAGTGTTGTTATCAGATACTAGTAGTCCGTTTCTGATAACCGCCTGGAATGTCGCTTTGCATGCATTGTCCATGACCTTGCACTCAAGTGGCACATGGGAACGAAGCACCAACCTTTCGCAAACACACGTTAAGTTGGCTCGTCCATGTACCTCGAGGCACGGCGCTGTGTCCTTATACCGCAATACCGATCGGTGTAGTACAGTGGCTTCATCGCGTGACCAAGTTCTCAGGAACATTCTCAGACGTCTGATAATCGGATCCGACTGACATGGCCAATGAATGCTGTCAGCAGCTCAACGTGTTGCGTTGAGTGTCCAGCTGGCTCTGCTTCTCAGCGCCTGCTTTCTTTTGAACGTCTCTGGTTATGGGACCAATCCGCGTGTCTCGACACATGCCAACACAAACCCTATTCAACGACCACGACCATGCACTCCGGTGCTCAGATTATCCACGCATCGAGCTTTGTCGAGTATCATTTGTTTTTACTAGTACTGCATATTCCATACCTGATGGCAGAAGAATGGACGAGTCGATCGTTATGTTGGTGATTTTCGTGCACGGCAAATGTAGCCCGCATTGAACACAATTCAATTTCCGTCCAATGGTCAAGATCATCGCCTCCGCCAGCGCTCTGGCCGCTGTCGCCATTGCCGGCACCATCAACGAGATCCCCGCTGACATGCGCGCACTCATGGACACGGACGCGAACCCGTGCGATGACTTTTATCAGTACGCGTGCGGCGGGTGGTACAAGCAAGCTGTGATCCCGGCGGACCGTGCCAAGACCGACACGTCCTTCAGCGTCCTTGGCGAGAAGAACGACGCGATCATTCGCCAGATCCTCGGTGCGGGCCACCCCAAGGTGTCGGAGTACTACCAGTCCTGCCTCGACACGCGGACGCTGAAGACCAAGGCCCTCGCGCCCATCTCGAGCGACCTTCAAAGCGTCAAGACAGCCACGTCGGTGGCTGGCTTGCTCCAAGTCGCGGCCAACCTGAGCAAGAAGGGTGTCTATGCGTTCACCCAACCTGTGGTAGGACGTCCCTCATGCGCATTGTATCGGTGCTGATGAGGCTGCCTTGTAGGTGGCTCCGGATTCGCAAGATGCGACGGCCAACGTGCTCTACTCGGCCCAAGCGCCGTCGACGCTGACGCGTCAGCTGTACGTCAACCCGCAGTACTGGCGCGTGGTCCAACCCGCTTACAAGCAGTACATCACATCGATCTTTACGCTCGCGGGCAAGACGGCGGCCCAGGCGACCGCGGCGGCCAAGACAATCATCGACTTTGAGCTGCAGCTCGCGGGCGTTCAGCTCTCGAAGCTCGAGATGCTCGAAGCCAAGACGGCCAACTACAACGCGCTTACGTACTGTGATGCGGCGGCCAAGTACCCGCTCACAGTCGGCGCGCAGCTCCAGGCCTACGGCTTTCCCACCAAGAACTGCGATAGCCAAAAGATCATTCTCAACGACCTCGACTTCTTCGACCGTGTCGAGGCACTTGTCGGCAGCCAGTCGCTCTCAGCGCTCAAGACGATCTTCGAGTTCAAGGTCCTCCACACGTACGCGCCGTCGCTCGCGCCGTCGTTTGGCACGGCGCGCTGGAAGCTCTTTGGCAAGCTCATTGGCGGCGAAAGCGTCGAGCAGAGCCGCGAGAAAAAGTGCACGGCCGACATCCAAGAGAAGCTCGGCGACCTCATCTCCGACTACTTTGTCAAGGCGACGTTCGACACCAACTCGGCTGCCCGCGCCGAGGAGCTCGTCCAGGCGCTGCAGACGTCGTTTCAACAAGGCATTGCGACCGCGGCGTGGCTCGACGAAGAGACGCGCGACAAGGCGATTACCAAGCTCTCGAAGTTTGTGCATTTGATTGGCGCGCCGACGTCGCCCCAGACGTACCCGAGTTTGAACCTGAGTGCGACCGAGTACATTGCCAACATCAACAAAATCGCGACGTTCGAGACCGACGCCAACTTGAAGCTCATTGGCACCAAGGTCGACCGTACGAAGTGGAGCTCGCCCGCGGCCGAGGTCAACGCCTACTACGCGCCGTACGTCAACTCGATCACGTTCCCGGCCGGCATTCTCCAGTCGCCCTTCTTCTCGGGTAAGTTTGACCCGGCCCGCAACTTTGGTGGCATCGGCATGGTCATTGGCCACGAAATCACGCACGGCTTTGACGACTCGGGTCGCAAGTACGACGGCGACGGCAACGTGGCCGACTGGTGGAGCGATGAGACGTCGCTTGCGTTCAACAAAAAGGCCAAATGCATCATGGACCAGTACAGCGCCTTCAACGTGCGCAGCGAAACGTCGGGCAACTCGCTCGGCAATGTGAA